CTTTTAATGTGAATGAAATTTTTTCACTAAATCGTAAATTAGTCTTAAAATTAGGTTTTACGCATCATCAGCAGAGGCTACATTTCTTGCTGTATATATTACGTCAAGTAGTTTCTGCCATTTAAATTAGAAAAGATTAAAATTAACTGAAATATAATTTTTGATACAGAACTCTTTTAAATCTTGAGATAAGTTATCAGAGAAAAATAATTCGTTACTCTTGAGTTTGGTTATTTTATTTCGTATTTCAAATTTCGAGGAAAAATACTGATGCAGTAATTTGTTAACGCATATCGTTCAGCAATTTATTCAACGAAATGTTGCTGGAAAAAAATATTTTTCTAAATTTCCTATTTCAATTTTATTAGAGTTCTACCTAAATAATTTCATAAAAATAACCTTAATGTTAAATAAATAATGGATTCAAACCTATTACAGGTTTCAAAAAACATTATTGGTTGAAAAAGAAGTCCAAGCTGTGACCAAAAGAACCACTGTGAAATTTCATGGAACTCCAAGGAAGCACGGGACACCTTTGAGAATTTACTCTGTAAAACTAATCAATTTTATAATATTTCGTGTTTTCATTTTTTACATTGTTTCGTAAAATTATTGAGTTTTAGTTCAGATTTTCACTTAGATTGAAAGTATTATTCCCCTACTCTAATCGGTTTAAGATTTTATGCTCAAATCGAGCTAAAATACTAGAAATTATTTAATCAAATGACAATTAAAAATGGTCATATTGTTAACATACAGTATTGAAGCATGATTCTTATTTTACAATCTAATGAATTAAAATAGATTTACAAAAGAAGTAAGCGTAAACAGTATTAAATTGTAACATTTGAATTTATTTCTACGAGTAAATTGTTTTTGAAAAAGATATAAATTAAAATCTCTAAAAAAGTGCACATTGATCAGACATGTTTTGCACGTACATTCAAGAAATAATAAAATTCTCTTATGGGACATAACATATTCTGATAAGTATTTATTAGAACAGGCTTATAACGAAAGAATAGAAAGTTTCATTATAGACGTTTTTGTTATTAAAAATCAAAACGCATTTTTTTATGTTTTGAAAAAAGAGTAAAAATATTTATTCAAATTTCGTAAATAAAAAAAACCATCATGAAAACGATTTAACAACTTTAACGATCCCATAGTCTCGATCTACCTCCTGCCTAAACATTTGACGCTTCTGCTCTTATTGATGTATTTTATTTTATTTTAATACCGTCATAGAACAGCCGACCCAATTTTCATGTTTGCGACTGCGTAGTTTTGTAATTTTGAACCCAATCCGGAAGACTAGGGAACACCTGGATTAAATATTGGGAAAAATTGTCGTAGAGGACTCTTTAATGGAACTAACCAGCATTTGCGTTACATGGAGATTGAGATTACGAGAACCTCCCACGGTTAGCCTGATGGCAAAGGTACTCTAACACCTGAACTGTCTTCCAGTGACGATATTTCACGTCAGCACTGTGGTTGGTACAAACCGGATGCGGATTCTTATCGACAAGCCATCGATGGGATTCGAACCGGGTTCACCTCATTGGAAGGCGAGCTCTCTATCCCCTGAGCCATTGCGGCTCCCTTATTGATGTATTGTTTGCAATAAATCTTTTGAAACAAAATATGATTTAAATGGTTTCTCTCTTGTTCGAACTCAAGTTAAGCCGAGCTTTATATAACTCCCTTTAATAACTCCCTTTAACACTGAAATATCAAAATGATTAAGAAGAAAATTCGAGAAACGGGAAATAGATTTTCATAATTTTGACGAAGAGAATAAATTAGGAAAGTTAGAACTAAAAGAAAAACTTCTAAAGAAATTTGAGTCTGTTTTGATTAGGATTATTCTATAATAAGGTTTTAAAAATTGGAAGTAAGGAACACTATTTTGAAAATCGTGACCTGCGTAATAGCAACTCTTTTAATAACGTTTTCTACAATACGATTTAAATGCGCCGTAAAACATTTCGTTCTCGTGTCTTGCATTTATGTTAGTATTTTTCAAAATGGTAAAGCATTTCGCAACTTCTTTTAATGTACTTTATGAAAATCTAAATATTAAAATTCTTTTGGGACATTTAGTTCATACTTTTTAAATTGGCAAACTTTGAATTGGCTATTTCAGTTCGACAAATTTCAAACAATTAAGGAAACAATAAAGGGTTATAACAACCCTTGAATGCCAAATCAGTATTCTCTCTCGCCAAGTAAATTAAATGTAAATTAAAAGCGAGACAATAATTTTTAGTTCAATGGTTTTTTTTCATAACTTTGATCAAGTAAGTTTCTATTTTTGCGGCTACATTTATTATACATTTTTATTAATACACATTTCTATTTTTTTTCTCAATTATTTTATCGTGATTGATTGTTTTTATTAATAGTTTTGTTTTTAACGATTTCGTTAGGTTTTTCTTTATTATTGATATTAAATTGTTTAAAGTTAAATCACCATATAAACGTATTATACTTTCTAAGAGATTACGTGTTAAATGGTTATCAAATATTGAATGTTTTAACGTTATGAAATTTTTATGATGTTATTTTAGTAATAATAGCTGCCAATAAATAGTAGACAATATTTGCTTGCTTTTAAAATGTTAAGCATGTTATAAATAATATAAAGTGGTGAATTATTTAAGCCTACGCATTGTTTAGAAATAGTGGTGGATTAAAATCTACTAAATCGAACTTATTAAACTACCACTTGAAAATATTTATTCGCTGTGCTTATGTTAGCTCTTTGCTCCAACAATAAATGATAAGTCGACCTGTCTTATCATGGGTGAAAGCCCTTATATAGCAAGACGGAAAAGAGAAAAGACTGGTACGGAAAACATTTCATTCCAGCATTTTTTTCGAAAAAAATGAAATATCTGTAACTATCAAGATTTCTTTTATAATTCTGGCATATATATAAAACTGCTTCTTTTCCAAGATAAATTAGATATTGTTGAAAAATTTAAAAAAAGAATAAGTAAACTCCTCCCCAAAACTAGCTATAACTGAAATGGTTTTACTACCAGCCTTTCCTCTTTTCCGTCTCGCTTTCACCCCTGTGTCTAATTCAGAGGCTCTACAATAAATGAGTTCTGTTCATTCAATGATTTTATAAAACAATACATTCCACGTTACGATTACCGAAAAAATTCATTTTTAATAACTTAAAGCTACCACGTTTTAACGTTTAAGCTTTTTTTCTAAAATGTAAAGAAGCAGTTGTAAAGGACGGTGCAATTCAATGGTAGAGAGTATGATTATTTATTAATATTCAGAAAGAAAAGTGGTAGTTACATATTCATTTAATGCAATTTTAATACATGGTGAAATCGAAGGAAAAAATGTTGTTAAAACAATCAATTTTATTTTTGATATCTACAAATATGTAATTAATCAATTCGACAGCAGTTGTGCTAACCATATTGGATTAGAACTCGTTTGGTGGCTATAAAAATAAGAATTTTTATTAGAAACAATTAATTTCGATAATATATTATACCACTTTTTCCATAAAACTACTTTTTGTATGATTGCAGTACTTAAATTCGGGACAAAACAGGCTAAGTGCAATACTACAAACTTCAGCAACATTTTTCAGTACCAAGACTTTGAAAGTGACCATAATTCCTTTGATTTAGAGCGGAGCACTTTTTCAGCGATATGACATTATCAAGACATCAAATTTAAATATTAAATTCGCCCATTATTACACTCAGCCTTGAAGTCTAGGCGAAAGGAACAAAAATATCGACTCCAATATGAAACTTTTTCTTTTTCTTCAATTTATCCACCCCACGGAGTATTTTGAAAGCGATTCATGGGCAATAATTGTTTGGCGCTGGTACATAGCTCCATTTGATAAGTGAAGTGAATTGATCGATTTAGTTTTAATTGTAAACTGAAAAATATATGCTAACAAAAGTTGCTAATTTTAATATCAATATCAACATTTTGAATTGAATTGGTCACCACAGTTTGCATTTTTAGTCCTCTGCGGCAACCCTGCTTGTGCAACGTTTCCGATTTTGACTACGGAGCGCTAAATAATTGACATTCTTGCGGCAAAATCCCGTAAATTAATTTGCAATAATTAACATGCAATAATATTAACCATTGCCTCTTAGAAATATTTGGAATAAAATTTTAGTCTTGATGGATAATACAAAACTAAAACATTGATAGTATTATTGAAATTCGGCAATTTAATTTTGTTTATATTTCTTATCGTTCATAAAGGGAGATACTCAATTTGAGATGTGTTAATTTAATGGTTTTTAGAAAAAGATTCATAGATATTTATTTTTAAATAACTCAAAGCTTACACGATTTCACGTTCAGCTTTTTATCTAATATAAAAGAAACGAACGGAATAACACCTCCTAATAATTAGACTAAATCAAGCAATATTATATACTAATATTTAAAAAGAAAAGTGATAGTTACATATTCATTTAATGCAATTTTAATGTAAGATGAGTTCGAAAAAAACAAGTTTTAAAACAATCAATTTACGCACCTTAGTCCTCAACAATTAATTTACGTACCTCAATTTACGCAAACAATCAAACAGATACGCACCTTAGCATGACTTCTGTATGATTGTATGAATTGTTAAGTATGCATACCTGCCAACTTTTAATCCTTTCAAGAATGATTTTCCCCAGTGGTAATAAAGTGGAATTTAAATTACAATTTTAGACTGAAGCATTCGCTGTGTTTAAATTAAGCTTATGCGTACAACCACGCTTGCTCGATGCAGTTGACTGTTGTTGACTGTTAATGATGATGTGGGAGGGATCTCTGCTACTCGCTTATATCCCCCTCGCTGTAAGGTGTATCTTTTGTGAGTTGAGTTGTTGGTGGTGAAGATGATGACGATGAGATGGTGAGAGTGCACGTTGTTCTTGAAGAAGCGAAACAAGTTCATAGTAGAGATCAAAATAACTGCATTTAATTGGAGATTTTAAAACTGGAGACTAGAAACGCTTAGTTGAAATTAAAAAATCCACTAAGTTTTTGAGAAGATTATCACATTGGTCATAACTAAGAAGACGGTGGAGGGAGAGTGGGAAAAGTCCGATTGAGGCGCGCAGTGTTTGTCTCTGATGTTCAAACTTTTTGCATTCAAAGAGGAGGTGGATAGCAGATTCTGGATGTTGACAATGGTCGCACAAAGGGGAGTCTACAAGCCCTATTTTTGCATATATTTCGTTAAGTTGGGTTGAGTTGCTTCGGAGGTGCGAGATTAAGAAATCGTATTTTCGGTTTGGGAGTTGATTGAGGGAAGTTTTATTAACAGGGTGATCAAAGGGGAAACGCTTGTGGTATTTTGAATTAGTCCGGAGGTTACTGAGTTCGCGGTTTGAGTCTAAAACAGCTGAATATGACAAGTCTTCAGGTGACATAATAAGGATGGCTTGAGGGGCATTGGTGGCGTGTTTGGCCAGTTTATCGGCGGTTTCATTGGGGGAAATGCCAACGTGTGCTGGTGTCCAGGCGATCGTAATTGATTTAACTTTTGCACTTGCTGAAACTATCTTATTTTGTAAGAGGAGGATGCTGTGAGGGGATTTATGGGTGGCTGAGATGAGGGCAGTGATTGCGGACTTACTGTCCGATAAAATAACGTAATCTAGATACTCGGTAGTGAATTTTGTGACTGCTAACCAAATCGCTAAAACTTCTCCGGTGAAAACTGAGTTAATAGGATGGATTTGAGAGATATAAGACATGTTGTTCCTTGAGTTAATAGCCGCAATACCTGTGTTCGTACTGGATTTTGAGGCATCGGTAGCCAGGATGACAAAGTCTTTCCAAAGGGTGTGGAGGGTTTCCTGATAGAGAGGGAGGATTTCGTTGGGATTTTTCGTAGTTTGAAAAGGAAGATCGTGTACAAAAAGACAGAGGTTCGGGAGATCTGTGAGGAAAACTGGAATGTGGAAGGGGATGATATTGAATTTACTTATGCCTTTTTGGCTGAAGATGTCCTGAAATTTGAGGAAAAGGTGGGGTTTCTTTTTAAGTCTAGTAAAATGGAATTTATGCAAAAGGCGATTTATTGGGGAGTGAGAGCCAAGGGAACAGTGACGGAGGTAGAATTTTTTAGCTGCTAAAACAAGTCTGTGTGAGATTGAGGTAGTGCCGGCTTCTCTGTGGAGGATATGAATTGGAGTCCATCGTGGGAGGCCCGTTGCTGCGCGGAGGCTAGAGTTGTAGATTGTTTCAATTACTCGGAGATGTGATTTTGGCGCAGAGAAGAGGATTGGGCTGCCATACTCTAAGATACTTCTGATTGTGGCATTTACAATCTGAATGAGGTGGTAGGTTCGAGACCCCCTTGAGTGCAAGAGATGCAGCGGAGTGCATTAATATCTTTTAAACATTTCTTTTTTAGGTATTGAAAGTGACAGAGGAAAGAAATGGTGGCAGTGTAATGGATGCCGAGAATTTTTATGGAATTAACTTGGGGAATTCGTTCGTTAAAAATTGTTAACTGAATCGTAAGAGAGAGACATTAGTTGGAGAAATTAATAGTTGCACTTTTTGAAGGTGAAATAGCCATTTTCCACTTTGTGCCCCAAGTTTAAATGGTGATGAGGGCATCTTGAAGTTTAGCAATAACCCTGTCAAAAGATTTTGCAGCATAGTAAATGTAGATGTCATCAGCGAACACAAGAATTTGAACTCCAGTGGGATGGTGTTCGTGAATATCTTTAAGATAAAACATAAAAAGAAGGGGGGAGAGGTCACTGCCCTGCGTGAGGCCCTGGGGTTGCTGGAAATCTTTAGCCCGGGTGTTACGCCAAGAGATGTAGAAGGTGCTGCTTGATGCTTAGTAATGCGTATTAATATATATGCTTAATGTTTTTAAAAATAGCGGTGGATCAAAAAGATTGTAAATGAAGTTTCTAAATGCAAAGAATATATAGAAAGCGTGCATTTTACTACCACTTTAAATATAGAAATAAAATTTTGCGCCAAATGAGTAAAAGTTGGCACGTATGAGTATGTGTACGGTATTACCCATTCATACATGACCTTCATTTTCATTTATTCGTTGTAGTACATTCTGGATTGGTTCCATAGTATTAGATTTACTATAGTATAAGTGAGACCGACCACGCACCGAAAGAAAAATTAACTACACATGTAGAATCATTTAACCTATCTACCATGGCTAAAAGCCTATATATAGCAAAACGGAAAAGAGCAAAAACTGGTACGAAAGGCATTTCAATCTAGCATTTTTTCCGAGAAACATTAAATTTCTGTAACTACCTAAATTTTTTACAATTTTAGCATAGATATAAAACAGCTTCTTTTTTTATATAGAAAAGTAGATATAACTGATTAATTAAAACAGAGAATAGTTTAACTTCTCCCGAAAACATGTTAAAACTGAAATGGCCTTAGTACCACCTTATACCCTTTTCCGTCTCGCTTTCACCCATGCTACCTACTCGCAAAATAATTCGGGACCTCATGGGATAAATATTCACGAATCTTGGCTCAATAAGTCAGTTATTTTCTGATATTAAACCTATATAGGATAGTCCGATTCAACCAATATTTTACTGTTACTCTTCAACCTATATCGGCTCCATGTTCAATTATCAGATTCACCAGATTCAATTCATAAATCAGCCAATATAGGCAAATATTGGCCCTATATATGAGAAATATTAAACAAATTTAACGATATCAATATTGGTTTATAAAGGACCCATATTGAGATCAACTGGGGCCAAGGCAACAAATCCTACAACTGAAAGCCTCCTCACGGTTTTTTTATAGGTAGTCCGTCCAGACCAGTATGTAGGTAAACCAGTTTATGAAAAAACCCTTTTATAGAAAATCTAGTAAAAATAAGAAAGTGGTAGCAAATATATGTCTATAAATTTGTTTAATTAGTTTGTCTTATTTATTTGCCTACCACTACAGATTCAATTCTCAAATACATATGATAAACTCCTCTCAGCCACTTTTAAAATAAATTTGGTTTCATGCGCTCAAACTGTTCACTTTTTAAATAGTCTGCGCAGACTACTTATGAAAAACCGTGTGGAGGCTTTCTGATGTAGGAGGTGATGGCTGAGGTTGCTAGGGCTATGATATTCAGAATTTTCTGCAAATTTTCATGTCGTAGCTAGTAACATACATGGCAATACTTTCTTGTAACATTGTTATTTCATTGATTGTTATTCTTGTTGTTTCGTTACTTGTAACAAAAGTAAAAACTACTATACTTGTACTTCGTCACCTTTTAAATTTAGTTCTTTGACTTTTTTTTTCCTCATATTTTTGGTGAAAGTAAAAGCATTTGTAACAAGAATGTCTTTTTTCAGAATTGTTTCAAAAATTTTTAACATTCATTAATTTTTTTAATTATAAATTTAATGTATTATATATTCTTTGGTTGCTAACTTCTTTTTCCAAACATCTTTAACACGTTAAATGCCATGGGGTCACAGGTGATAGACACTGAGTTTGATCGCAGCGCCACGGGGGCCACCGGTGACCAGCGAAGTCAAGATTATTAGAAATTCGTAATTCGAGTGAACGTTTATTTTTTTTTTAAATATTATTATCGTTACTAAAACGTTTTGAAGAAATTAATACTACATAGAACTAACAAAAATAGTTTTATTTCTATACACAGAGATGCCAACTTGCTCCTGACAGCGAATGAATATTTTTAAGTGGTAGTTTACTAATTGTGATTATCCACCACTGTTTCTAAACAATTCGTAGGCATATATAATTCACGACTTCTTTCAGATACGTCATTTGTCATGCCACCACATTGTCGCATATGTCAAAATGCTTTAAATCATTGTATATATTTAATGATGTATGGGTTAGGGGCCGCTGCGCGGCCCAGGCACCCAATTCTTTCAAATAAAGTAAGTAAGTAGATACGTCATTTGAAACCTTTTAAAAAATCAGCAAAATCCGTTTAGTATTTTCAAATTTTGTTTGTAGTTATTTACCGTTAGGCCAGACGAACAAGCAATGCAAAATTAGCGTGGCATTCAACGTGTTAAGGATTGCAATTTTCCGAAAGAGAGACAGTGGCTGAACATGAAACCCTTACTTTAACGAATTTTACCTGCATATGAATGCATTTCTTTACTCATATCTTTAAAAAAAACTGCAATGTTATCGAATGTGTTCAACAAATTAAATTTTTACTAAAAACTCTGAAAGAAAAAATGAAATTTATAAAGATTTCATTGTTTGAAAAGAATTTAAAATTCCTTTTTTTCTTGCAAACCCTGAATTTTGATTTCTTTCAAAGTTCACTATTTCAATTGAGGTTTGTAACATTTTCCTGCATTTTATACTTCCGTAAAACATTTCGTTCTCGTGTCTTGCATTTATGTTAGTATTTTTTAAAATGGTAAAGCATTTCGCAACTTCTTTTAATGTATTTTATGAAAATCTAAATATTAAAATTCTTTTGTGACATTTAGTTCATACTTTTTAAATTGGCAAACTTTAAATTGGCTATTTCAGTTCGACAAATTTCAAACAATTAAGGAAACAATATAGGGTTATACTATCCCAAAAAATGCCAAATTAGCACTCTCTCTCGCCTAGTGAATTAAATGTAAATTAAAAGCCAGTCAATAATTTTTAGTTCAATGGTTTGTTTCATAACTTTGATCAAGCAAGTTTCTATTTTTGTGGCTACATTTATTATTCATTTTTATTAATACACATTTCTATTTTTTTCTCATTTATTTTATCCTGATTGATTGTTTTTATGAATAGTTTTGTTTTTATCGATTTCGTTAGGTTTTTCTTTATTATTGATATTAAATTGTTTAAAGTTAAATCACCATATAAATGTATTATACATTCTAAGAGATTACGTGTTAAATGATTATCAAATATTGAATGTTTTAACGTTATTAAATTTTTAAGCTGTTATTTTAGTAATTATAGCTGCTTAAACATACATGATCAAATTTGTATATTTTTATTCATTTACTCGTAACTGAACTATTTGTTCATTTGTAACTATTGTAACTTGTTGTTCATTGTAACTTTTTTGTCCATTTGTAGCTATTGTATTGTAATTTGTAAGTATTGTTCATTCGTAACTGTAACTATTTGTTCATTTACTCGTAACTGACACAGAACCAGATTGATTCACAATTTTATTATCTTTCTATGTCAATAAAATCACACGTCGTAATTCGCATTGACGAAATTTAAAATACATTCATCATTATTCGTGTTGACGTAATTTAAAAAAAAAGAAGATTCACTACAGAATGAAGAAAATTGTAATCAACGCAAGGTGATCACAGGTTACACATTGGAAAATTGGTTGTCTAATTTTTTTGGAAGAAAACTTTATTGTGTTTTTATCTTGGACATCTTTAACTGTTAATCCTGAACTGCACGGTTCACAATTTCGTAGACATATTTAAATGAAGCAACACATTCTGCGTAGATTCTTTTGATGACTGAATAGACATTGAACTGCCAATCGAGATCAATATTAGCATTTTCGGATTGCTGCAATGGTGTTTGATGTCGATTGCGAGGTGCATCTCACACACGCTTTGGATTCACATGTTCATACATGAAATACGATTTGAAAGCAAGGTCCTTTTACATTTTACAGGAATAGCGAATGTATCATTCATTTTGTGTGGCAGACAGTCTTCGGTCTTGTGCAAGTTATTGGGTACTTTGATAATGGATCCTTTTATCCCTAACC